ACCACTGGCAGTCATCTTTGAGAATTCCTGGAGAACAGGCGAAGTCCCGGCAGACTGGAGGAGGGCAAATGTTGTCCCTATTTTCAAAAAGGGGAAAAGAGAGGACCCAAATAATTACCGCCCAGTCAGTCTGACATCAATACCAGGGAAGATTCTGGAGCAGATCATTAAGCAAACAGTCTGTGAGCACCTAGAAAGGAATGCTGTGATCACCAATAGTCAGCATGGATTTCTGAAAAATAAGTCATGTCAGACTAACCTGATCTCGTTTTCTGACAGAATTACAAGCCTGGTAGATGAAGGGAACGCAGTGGATGTAGCCTACCTTGATTTCAGCAAGGCATTTGACAAGGTGCCTCATGATATTCTTGTAAAGAAGCTGGTAAAATGCGGTCTTGACTATGCTACTACTCAGTGGATTTGTAACTGGCTGACTGACCGAACCCAAAGGGTGCTCATCAATGGTTCCTCTTCATCCTGGAGAAGAGTGACTAGTGGGGTGCCACAGGGTTCTGTCTTGGGCCCGGTCTTATTCAACATCTTTATCAACGACTTGGATGATGGACTCAAGGGCATCCTGATCAAATTTGCAGATGACACCAAATTGGGAGGGGTGGCTAACACCCCAGAGGACAGGATCACACTTCAAAATGACCTTGACAGATTAGAGAACTGGGCCAAAACAAACAAGATGAATTTTAACAGGGAGAAATGTAAAGTATTGCACTTGGGCAAAAAAATGAGAGGCACAAATACAAGATGGGGGACACCTGGCTTGAGAGCAGTACATGTGAAAAGGATCTAGGAGTCTTGGTTGACCACAAACTTGACATGAGCCAACAGTGTGACGCGGCAGCTAAAAAAGCCGATGCAATTCTGGGCTGCATCAATAGGAGTATAGCATCTAGATCAAGGGAAGTAATAGTGCCACTGTATTCTGCTCTGGTCAGACCTCACCTGGAGTACTGTGTCCAGTTCTGGGCACCATAGTTCAAGAAGGACATTGACAAACTGGAACGTGTCCAGAGGAGGGCAACCAAAATAGTCAAAGGCCTGGAAACGATGCCTTATGAGGAACGGCTAAGAGAGCTGGGCATGTTTAGCCTGGAAGAGGAGGTTAAGGGGTGATATGATAGCCATGTTCAAATATATAAAAGGATGTCACATAGAGGAGGGAGAAAGGTTGTTTTCTGCTGCTCCAGAGAAGCGGACACGGAGCAATGGATCCAAACTACAAGAAAGAAGATTCCACCTAAACATTAGGAAGAACTTCCTGACAGTAAGAGCTGTTCGACAGTGGAATTTGCTGCCAAGGAGTGTGGTGGAGTCTCCTTCTTTGGAGGTCTTTAAGCAGAGGCTTGACAACCATATGTCAGGAGTGCTCTGATGGTGTTTCCTGCTTGGCAGGGGGTTGGACTCGATGGCCCTTGTGGTCTCTTCCAACTCTATGATTCTATTATTCTAATGCCTCTAATCTGGGTTATCAGCATACTCATCCATGATCACCAGCCTTAGATCTGAAGGGGTTAGTTCAAGAATGGAAAAAGACTCCTCCAAGTCACTTTGGTGCTGCTAACACAGTGGTTTGGCTTAATCCCCAGAGGCGCACACCCTTGTCTCTCCAGACCAGGGCTTTTTTCCAGCCAGAACTGAGTTCCACCACCTCTTCATAGCATACTGGCAGCTGTATAGCGTCACGGCACCCAGAGCTGCGTGTCAGAGGCTTTGGGCTGCATCCTGCCACTCGTGGCTTTGTGTCGGAGGCTGTGGGGCAGCACGTCAGAGGCGACTTTGTAATGTGGCAGTGGGGCAGAGAAGTGTGCCCCCCCAAAAGTGTTTTCTCCCTAAAAAAAGGCTTAGCAACTTTGGCTCCCCCCTAAAATTAGCTCAACAATTTAGTATTGTCCATCAAAAAAAAAATGGGAGTTCCTGCACCTCTTTTTCTAGAAAAAAAAAGCACTGTTCAAGACAGACTGATGCCAACAACAACATCATAGGGTCAGTCTCCTAAAAAATTCCTGTGTTTTGGTGCTCTCAAACATAATCTCTTATACACTTCTAAACTAACATGTGATTTCTACTTCACCAATCACAGGATTATAGAAAACTTTCCCACAACTATTGCAACCCACTGACATCAATCTCGACCAGTGGTTTCAAAAACTGTGTGTCGTGACACCCTGGGGTGCCTTGGATGATGGTCAGGGGTGCAGCGAGCAACATGGGCCTCTGTCCCTCTTTCCTTCACTCCCTCGCATCTCTGCCTCCCATAGGCTTGCACAGCTGTTTGTTGCAGCAGCCCTGGCTACAAGCTCCCCAGGCGAGTGGTGCCTTTGGGGCTGGTCAGGGGGTGCTGGTTGCCAGGAGCTGAGGCAGCCTCGGAGTAAGCAAGCAGACTCAAGGGGCCCAGCCAGTCAGTCCACCAGCTCTTGCTGTTGGGAATGGACAGTGTGAGGAGACACTTCTCTTTGGGGCAGGGGCACAGCTCAGACCAGGGACTGCAGCAGCTACCTGGAGGACTCCCAATGAGAGGGAAGAGGAGAGGAGGCTGAGGGAACACTCCATGAGGGAGGGTGTTTGAAAAAGGGTGAGAGGCTGCCAGTTCTGCAGGTAAGGGGAAATGTAACCGGGCTCCTGAGCCCCACAGGGGTGCCACAGAAAGAATGTAGTTGGTCAAGGGATCCATGGACTCAAAAAGGTTGAAAACCTGTTCTAGACCAGTGAGAGAGCCCACCCCAAACTCCTCCTTTTAACAATGTCTTCATTAATCATTTATCAGTGTCTTTTGGTTAATCACCCTGTTTATCATTTGTCTATCAACATCTGCTTTCCATTATCTGTGATTAATACATCAGTCCTATTGACCTAAGGTTAAATGCAAGTTCTGTTATGCCTAGCATTCTTTTATCCATTGTCACAGTGATTATATGCTTACATGTGATGGTTTGTGTATGCTATTCGCAATAAGCACCCTCTGCTCACTCAGAGAGGTATTTACAGTTCTTTATTTTGCATATGTAAAAGCAGCACAGTACAATCAGGCATCCGAATCGTCTGGTTCAGATTCGGGGAGTGGTCTTCTCCTGCTTCTCCTCCAACAGAAGAGGTGGCTGGAATGTTCATGGGACCTCTCTGATCCCTGCGCTTTAACCCTCTCCTTTCCTGTGCCTCCTCCTGGCTCTCCCCCTCTTCCCCTTCCGTCATCTGCCGACCGCTTCCTTCTGACTGTTCCCACTCTGACTCTTTTCTTCCCCGACTCCAAGGCGTCCCTTGGCAGTCCCGTGACATTACATTCCGTCAGAGTTTGTTCTCTCAGTGTACCAGGACACTGGGAACACATAACTTCTTGGTTAAAAATAATGTTTTTTCTCTGTTAGAATAGGTCAGTCAAAGTTCATACACAGATGATAAAACTAATACAGCATATGGAGTCCTAAAGGCTCAAAATGGATCCTGACAAGATGAAGGAAAATGGAAATTTCTCCTTCACGTAAACTATATCTTAGTGTTAAATTTGAAGCAGGCATTTGAGCAGAACCTGGGTCTCAGTTTAAGTTTGAGAATAATTTAAGTGCTCCTTGTGACAAATTACATTGTAAGACCATAATCATTCCCATAGTCTTGGGACTCCAAGTCAGTGAGGAAATAACACTGAGCTTAATTACATTTTATTCTGTTCTTTCTGCCCGCCCCCCCCCCATCTCGAGCTTTCAGAATAGTGTGTACTACACATTTAAATAAGTAGCTAATGGTTTAAACCTGTCATGGACTGTCTGGATGCGGGGGAGTGGTGGGAGGTGCCAGCTGGAGAACCCCCAAGGGATCCTCCAGGGGAAGAAGGCTCAGAGCCAGGGGACTGATGGTGGGATGCTGAAGAGTGGTCAGAGGAAGAAGAGGGAGCGGACTGGGAGTAGGTGGTGTTGGAAGCTGAAGAGGTAACAGGGTTTAGTGAACAGGAAGAAGCTGGGGCAGAAAGTCATAATTCAGAGGCTGGAGAGGAAGGGGGCCAGTAGACCAAGAAGAGGCAGGCTGCTGAAGGACTAAGGAGTGTCTCCCTTCTGTGACCAGCTCCGCTCCCCCCGGCCTCCCAGAACATGCAGAGAAATGAAAAGAGCAGAGGAGAGATTGGTTGCGTGCAGACGTAGTCTCCGACTGCTTGGAAAACCCCTGGAGAGGAGAGACCATAGGCAGCTGTGGGAGGGCAGGGACCTTCAGTCCTTGCAACTTCTGCATTGGGCCAAGACCTACTGGGAAGAGTTGCTGGGATCACTAGGCCTGCACTGTTTTTGTTTCTTTGAATAAAGAGCTAACTTCACTGACACCAGTGTTTTTTTATTGCTGACCTTCACATGACTGGTTCCTGACAAAACCCTTGGCTTTCTTAATATTTTTGAAGGACTAAATCTGAGCCCATGTCGGACTATGGAGATGAATTTGTCACTTGCAGCCAACTGGCGTATGACTACCACATTGAAAAGCCCCACAAGGTAACTTGCTTGTTGATCTATCTTACTGTCTTCTTCCATGCTTGAAACATGGCTATGTGGACGGTTCTGGATTATAGTTATAGAGAAGTATCAAATCACATCTGTCCTCTAGAACAGAAGCAGTTTTCCTTCTCCATGTTTGTTTGAAGGGTGGTTTTTTATTGGCGACAGAATTCACCCCCTTGAAAACCTTGTCTTTTTTTCATTTTTTTAAAAAATATTTCTAGCCTTGTTGGCTGGCAATACCCCCCCCCCCAAAAAAGATCACTGTATAGTGACTAGTATAACTAGTATAGGGACAGGGGACCTGTGGCTACAACTCCCATAATCTCTGATTGTTGGCCATGCTAGCTGGGGCTGATGGAATTTGAAGTCCAGCAACACTTGAAGGGTGACAAATCCCCCTTTCCCTCCTAGTGAAATCCTTGAAGTGAGGCGGGTTGTTGTTGGATATGCAGAGCAGGAAAGTTGAGAACATGCTGCTAAACATTGACTTCCTGTTTCCTGTTTCAGGATACCATTTGTCCTGATTACTGCCTCTACTTGTACAAAGATATCCAGACTCTGACCGACCTGTTACATTCTGACATCGGCCAAGACATGCAGTTGCACAACAGCACTTTTTTATGGTTCATCCCTTTTATCCACTCCCTTATGGACCTGAAGGACCTGGGGATTGCCTACAGCATAGTAGTCATTCATCACCTGTGTTTGGAAATCCAAAATGTCCTCAGTGGCACTGTTGAGACTTGTGACAAAGTGTCTGAGTTCTTCATCTGGATCTTGGTGTCTGTTGTTGAGTGCAGCCTTAAGAAAAATTGCCTTCATTTTCTGTGGATCAGCTCAGAAATGTGGGTGTGGATAGTGGTGAAATGTGTCATGCTTCCAAGTACGGTGTTCATGCCTGGCATTGAGAGAAGAGTAGTCAGGAATAGCTTAAGAAGCACAGTGACATCACCATCTTGGGAACCTGAACCCATACAGTTTGCCTGCATGAAACTGATCCGTAACATCCTGAAGGAAGGGTATCAGGTTGTGCAGTCACCCACTTGTAAGCAGTTCCTTGATGAACTCAACTTGCTTCGCCGTAGCCACAAGCACTGGGAGCTGAGTTCCCAGCAGGCTCTAGAATTACAGAACACTCTGAAGGAGATCATATGGAGCATCATGAGCAAATCGTTAAATCCTTCCTCCCTTGTGAAGAGCCCTCCTGTTTGTGTAACTTCACCTACTTTCCTGATGAACCACAAAAGGCAGGAAGACAGGTGTCCAATGAATATGGACAATGAGCACCTACCCTGCTTGTCTGTGTTAGCAAACAGACACATGGATGCCCAGAAAAATGTGGTGTCTCATCAATGGCCAGGGGTCCAAAACAAGCAAGATCCCTTCTACCAAAGCTTTGGCCTCGGTTTTCAAGACCTGGAGACCAAAGACTTCAGCACAAAGGAGAAGCCCAGTTCTTCCAGATCTCTTCCAGAAAAGAATGGTAACAGCAGCAGTGCTTTGGAGAGAAAGGTTGGTCTAAATGACCTTACAAGCAAAATCAGATCTCTGAAACCAGACAGCACCCTGCAATTAAAACTGTTACCTGAAAGCAGTAGGAGAGGAAATACCAATCTGGAGCCAGGAACAGAAAAGCTGCAGTTGGTCAGAGACAGAACAAAGAGCCAGGAAGGGCAGAGGAGTGAAATCATTGTAGCCAGAGGCAGCACATCAGACACATTGCCTTGCAAATCAGAGGCAAGCTCAGGCAAGGCCTCTGTTGTGTGTGCTAAAGGAAGCAGTTTACCCATTGACTCTAGCCAGGAAAGCATCATCCGTCACCAAAAATGCATTAAGAAGAAAGCTAAAGGAGCTGTTCAAACTTTGTCTGCCCGAGAGAGCAACAAGTTGTCTGCTGATGCAGATGATTCCCCAAACCAAGTCATTATTTCTGACGCTTCTTCAGATGAGGATGAAAACAAAATGAAAGCTGGTAGAGAGAGCAGGAAAGGGCAAGTGGACGTGTGCCTTGAGAAGAAATTCAGTGCCCCAGAGCAAGAGCCATTGACTGCTCCAGACCTCATACATCATACAGCAGCTCGTGAAGGCCACATCGGCAAGGGAAATGCAGTGGTATGCTCAAATTTCACAGGGATATGTGCTGGCAATGGAAGCTGTTCCAGGTGCACAGATCCAGTTCTGCCCAGTACATCAGCATCTGCCAGTCCTTCAGGGTCAGCACCTGCTGTCAAAGAATCCACTATTCAGCCAGGGAAGAGCTCTGCAGAATATGGGCAGGTTAAAACAGCTAGAGAAAGTCCCAAGGGAAGCATCAAGCCAAGCATGCACAGTAAAAAACCACTGCTGGCAAAACTGGCAAGATCTACTCCTGCTCTGGTCCCACCCAACGAAATCCAACATATGCCAGCCCCAACCTTAGTGACAGAAAAACATGGCCTATCAGAGAAAGTCCAAAGAGCAGCCGAAAATGCTCAGTGCACACAGGACAGTCTTGCTGAGTTGCGCAGTTACAGGGAAATTGTTGGCGAGGTGGATGTTCCCCAGGAAAGGACATCACAATTAGTAAATGCTCAGCAACTAACTACTAGAAATAAGAACAATTTTGCCTGCCAAAAACGTCAGCTCTATAGGCAGACAAACCCCAAAGAGAGAGAGAATTGTCAGTGTACTCACGGAGAAACTCAGGAGGCTCAGCCAGCCAAAAAACCCAAAGTGGCAGAGCTAAGACCTGTGCAGTCTGCCAGTATGGTGGGGTGGAAAATCAGAAGGAAAGTTCTGCTGGAGCTAGTAAAACCAATCATTTGACCTTTCCAGATCCCTCCTCTAGCCCATGTGACGAGGATGTGGCTTTGAAAAGAGAGAGCCCCAATTGAATGAGAACAATGATGGTGACGGCTTCTTTCTTACACAGTTGGATCCAGTGGACATGGAACTGTGTTCACAAATAGAAGATGGCAGTTACCTCTCAAACATGGAAGTCAATATATCTGCAAGCCCACTGCAGGGTAGTGATGATGACTTGCAGTTCAAGACCCCGACGCTGAGCAGCATTCTCCAGCCTCGGATTTCAAACAACACCCCTCAGTTGCTGAATGTGCAAAATAACCATATTGTCATGGCGCTGCCCACCCCCAGAGCTGGTTCTTGGAACAAAGTGCACCAACCCTTTGCACAAGCAAACATTGTGAATGCCCAGCAGAGAGACCATGGGATTTTCACCAGAGAGGTGCTGAAGTGGAACTATGACATGTTTGCAAACTTTAAACTGTTTGGGCCACCAAGCCATCTCCTTCAGTCTATTGTTGCCCCTGTCACAGCCAAGTTTGAGGATTACAATGACTACTTCAATACTTTCTTCCCCTTAATGATGCTAAATGCATTTGAAACGGTAAGCTGGCAACAGACCACCTCGTTTTTCTTTCCTCCTCAAAGGAAATCCTCCCACTAGCTGCAATTAAACTCTCTCTCTGTCTCTCAATTTCAAAAGTTGACAAGTTGACACATGTTTCCAAATACACATCCATTTTGTGTTCAACTTCCCCGCCCCCCTCCATGGTTTCCCCCGTAATTTTTAAATTTGCTGCATATTATCAATATTCTATACCTTGTCTTTTCCACACTGTACTCAACAACAAGTATTCAGTTGCTGTTCTTCATTCAAATCCTACCTACATTTTAACATGTTTACAATAATTCTTTAAATATTCAACAAAAGGTTTCCACTCCTCCTTAAAACCTACCTCTTCTTGATCTCTAATTTCCATAGTTAAGTTTGCCAATTCGGCATACAGTGGTACCTCGCAAGACGAATGCCTCGCAAGACAAAAAACTCGCTAGACGAAAGGGTTTTTTGTTTTTTGAGCTGCTTCGCAAGACGATTTTCCCTATGGGCTTGCGTCGCAAGACGGAAACGTCTTGCAAGTTTGTTTCCTTTTCTTAACACCGTTAATACAGTTGCGACTTGACTTTGAGGAGCAACTCATAGAACGCGGTGTGGTAGCCTTTTTTGAGGTTTTTAAAGACTTTGGTGATTTTTGAAGCTTTTCCAAAACTTTCCCGACACCGTGCTTCGCAAGAGGAAAAAAATCGCAAGACGACAAAACTCGCGGAACGAATTAATTTCGTTTTGCGAGGCACCACTGTATTCTGTCAGTTTAAACTGCCACTCTTCTTTAGTAGGTGTCTCCTGATTTCGCCATTTTTGTGCATAGAGTACTCTTGCTGCTGTTGTAGCATACAATTGGTTCGTCTGTCTTCTTGAAACATCTGACCCAGTTATCCCTAAGAGAAATGCCTTGGAGTTTTTTGGGAGCATCACCTTATGTAATTTTTTAACCTCATTATAAACCATCTCCCAAAAACTCTTAGCCACTTTACATGTCCCCCACATATGGTAAAAAGTGTCTTCTGCTTCTTTACATTTCCAACATAAGCCTGACTCTGATTTGTACATTTTTGCTAGCTTACTCGGTGCCAAGTACCATCTGTGAGTCATTTTCATAAAGTTTTCTTTCAAAACATAACACACTGAGAATTTTATATTCAATTTCTACAGTTTTTCCTATGCCTTCATCTCTATATTGTGCCCACATCGCTAGTTCAGTGGATCATAGCAGATTTATCTATTTCAATCTTTAGTTTCTCATCCTAAAAGCCTCTTATACATCTTTGAAATTAGTTTTTCTCTGTTCTCTAATAACTCTTTTTCAAACTGAGAGCTTTGATTAATAAACCCATGCTTCTTACCTTGTTTAAATACTTCAATCAGTTGATAGTATTGCAACCAATTGATCAACCAATCCTTTTATCCTCTAACTCTTAGCAGGCATAGGCAAACTCGGCCCTCCAGATGTTTTGGGACTACAATTCCCATCATCCCTAGCTCACAGGACCAGTGGTCAGGGATGATGGGAGTTGTAGTCCCAAAACAGCTGGAGGGCCGAGTTTGCCTATGCCTGTTCTTAAGCATCACACCCTCTTCTGTGAGGTCCAGTAGGTCCCTATAGGTCACCCATTTCTTTTCCATGTTTTGTTTTTTTCTGTGAAATTGCTTTTTTAATTACATTTTTCAAAAATATTTTGACAAAAATACAGATCCAATATTTTCAAACAAATACCGTATTTTTCGCCCCATAGGACACACCGCCCTATAGGACGCACCTAGTTTTTTTTTTGGGGGGGGGGAAATAAAGAAAAAAGAGGGGTCTCGGTCATGCAAAAGGGATTTTTTTAAGCCTAACTGGTGCACAAGTGTAGTAGTGGACTCTAGGGTTTTTTGGCAAGGGGGAGCGGGGTTAAAAGTGTCCCATTTGGGTTTTTTTTGGATGGGGCAGGTGTTGAATGTTTTTATTTAGTTTTACAAATGTATGCATCAAAATTATGCTAATACATCAATAGACTTTTTTTTTTAAGCAATACAGTCCTCCCTCCCAATCCCACTAAGCGAGAGCAGGTGTATTTAACAAAATACATTGCATCACAATTGTCCATGAGTAGATGGAGGCTGCTAATTCGATGGATTCCCAAACAGGAAAGTAATAACAGAACATCATATGTCCATAAAATGGTTGGAGTCTTATGTTCAATATAGAGCTTTCATATATTTGGTAAGTTTCTTTGTTAATATCACTGTCCATACCTTTTGTCCTCATAAGAAAAGTTGCAAGTTTGCTAAATTTCTCCAGTTTTGTGCCACCAGTTGTTGGGCTGCTGCAAGCAGGGATTTTATTATTTCCTTAGACTGTAACTCCTCTTGCTCTCTGTGAAAATCAGTCAATAAAGTTAACTGTGGTGAGCCACAGACTCTCTGGGCCCCATTTATGAGCAGGGAATCCTGCCCAATGGTTTTAGCAGCCCACATGTGGTGGAAGAGCAGTCTCTTAAGCCTATGCTTCCATTTCCTGCAGATGGCACAGGAGTGGCTAGAGAACCAGAAATCAAAAGAGCAAAGGCCTTTTGAGTTGAATTTGCTGAACTTCAATGCAGACACAAATGAAGCAGATTTTACAAGTGAGTGAGAATTTCACTGCATATAAACAAATGGGAAGTAGAAATGCAGTCCTGTTTTTAATGGTGGTTGTAGTAGATAACAGAAGTGCTTGTGTTAACAGACTGTTGGGGTGAGCAGTCAAGGGCTATTATACTTTATTCTGCCTGTATCTTTTTTGCGTTTCTGCCCAACACAGAATGTTGATGTGTATTTTAGCCTGTTTTCAGTTTCTCGTTGATTTGATTTTAAAAAAATGTTTTAAATAATTTTTTTACCAATTATTTTATTGTTTTAATCTTTTGGTAAACTGCTTTGAAGTTGTGAAAAACCAAACAAGCCGTGTATAAATTTTATGAAATAAAATAAACCAATATCTGTGACAAACAAACTGATATCCAGGTGCTGCAAATGATGAAATGAATAATGAATAAAAATCAATATTATTTGATTAAAAAGAAAAAAAACGAGGATTGAGGCAAGGTGTGCCTGCTTTATCTCAATACCCAGAATGCTCTCCAAAATGGACCTCAGCAGGTCTCACCAATGAAAAAGCTCATACAACTAAATTGAGTGAATATTTATTAGAATGTGCGACTGGGTAACCAAAAACATCTGGAATTCAAAGTTCAGCTGTAGCAACTTGTGCGCGACATGCCTACTGTTTTATTAAGAGCTTTTGGTAACAACGTAGTTGTATCTGTATGTGGCTAAATGCTTGCATATTTTTGTTGTGTGTGTTCAAATTACTTCTCCAGTTAACATCTCAAGAAGCAATTTAGACAAACAGCTGCACCCAAAGGAATGTGACTTGGTGTTCTTAATATTGTCTGAAAAGCAAAACTTCTGTAGCAAAGAAGGCAAGGCAGAGAGCTGTCCATTACGCCATGTGGGCTATGTGACTCGGTTTTATACTGGTAGGTGGTGTTGTTTTTTAAAAACTAATAAGTAAGT